AAGGACTGTTTCCAGCACTCCGTCATCGACTTGAAGAGTATCGGCTGCAATACTTGCAAGCTTGATCTCAAAAAAAGAAGAGAATATATCCTGGCCTGGTTATGTATTGATCTGACAAACACGAAAAGCTGGGGAAGATTTAACGGTTTTGTTGGAGCATCAATAGATTAAATGAATTCGCCACTACTGCGGTCCTCTTTCCTTCGTTGACGTGCATTCCGCAGCTTAGAATTTCTTATTATATGTCTGAATGCTATGCTTAAGAAGGTCTCGATATATTTCAATGGTTCACTTTTATGAACTTGTAAACTATACATTAAAATAAGTTTAATTATTATATCTTGAGATATTGTAATTTAAGTTATGTTATACGTTATATTTATTTTGCCGTGACAGTTAACAAATAAGTTATTAAAAATAATAAAAAATATACTACATATAACTGAATAATTATGAATTTTTAACGCAATTTAATTGATGAAATAAGGAGAATATAATATTTTGACAATAATCTTACTTATATAAAATAGTACTATAGATAAAAGGTTAATTACACTATTCAATTAAAAAACACTATTAGCCTAATTATAAAGTTAACGCATTTTTTGTATTAGTTATTGACTTTCATCATTTTATTTAACATATCAATTAAAACTCACGCCAATCCTCTAGTTCTTTCCTTCCTAATATATGTATTTATTTAACTATTCAATTAATGAATTTACTTAAGTATTTTTCATTTATTATAAAAAAATCGAATAAAGCAAGCAATTCTATCTTCACTTACTCTGCATTCGTTTAATCGTTAAAATTTCCTCCCTTTCATCAGCTCGTTACCACCAACGCCTTTATTCAAGTTTTTTCTTTAAGTCAGAAATTTTCACAATACCAAAATTCAGAGTAAAAACATTCTTTAGGAAGTTTTTTTCATCTGCACATTTTTCGTCAATTCATGAAAATACACATATATGCTAAATTCACGTTCTCGTGTCTTCACTTAGTTTTACAGCTCGACTTAATTCAGTTCGACAGGGTATGATTGTCATTGTATTCTATGCCAGTCTTTTCTTGCATGAGAGTATGTACACATACTATGATATCGGCGACAATATAACTATTCTTAACACATTTTCTCTCCTTCCCTTTTAACGCACTCTAGGCATGTACCCCAAATGGAAGCAAACAAGAAAGCATATGACGTAATTCACTCATTGAGTTTACGCTTATATAAATTATGAATTCGCATCTATTTTTCATTTGTGAAATTTCCTACCTTTATTTAAAAATTACGTTATTAGCGAACTTAAAGTTTTAAATTTTTTATTGTCCAATAAGCTACGGATTTTGTGTACCTTAAAATAATGTTTGCATTTCACTTTTAATTTAATTATCTGAAATCATTATTATTTCTTAACTTTGATTTAAAAAAATTAATGTAGTAATGTTAACTTTATTTTATATAATTAAATTAACGAAATTAAATAAAAATATTACTATTACACTCACTTAACTTGTAACGTAAACTTAACATGTAAAGAATTATATATTATTAATTATCTTAATTGATTAAGAAAGTACTGAAATCTAGAATAAATAATATTTTCTATTATAATTTTTTTTAATTATTTTAATGTTTTTAAAAAGACTTAAATTATATTTGTATATATTTCTAATACTAAACATGGACCAATTTAAATATTTTAAAGACTGTTAATTTAATCCTTTCGTTTTATATTTATTTTTTAATTACTTTACTAATAACATATTCTTTTTTAGTTATTAAAATAATCTTTAATATTATTTGTTATGTTAATGAGAAACAAGAGATATAGAAAAATGTTAATATAAGTTGTTAATATGTTAATATGTTTAATTTAAGTTTTGTTTTTATGTTAATTATCCAATGATCTATCAATTTATGATTTAATTACTTATATTATTTTAATATTATTATAAATTATTCAGCATTTATATAAGTATACTATTCAATGAAATATTTCCTTATACTTATTGATTAATAATTGCATTCTCACTAAAGGCAACTAGAAGAAAGTTGTAAATTCATACATCAAATGTTCGAAAATTTGAAGAAGTTTTATAAGGTTATTATTTCATTGCATATAGAAGTTTATTGAAATGTAAATAAATATTCGAGCTATACGTAAACATTACTATTTGAAAAGAAAACAAGTGAAATAAGGTGAACAATTACTGGCCAATTTAATAATATTACTGACAATAAATTGTCAGCGAAATATATTTTTATTTATTTTTAAATAATTCTATTTTTATTTATGAATTTTGATAGAAAAAAAATTGAAACAAATAATATAACGATGTTATTGTGTATCAAATACTTTTAGAATAATATGTACATTCGAATGATATTTTTTTTATAGAATTAGTAAAATCCATATTTAATATTGGTCAAGATTAAAAAGAGATGAACCAGTTTTATAAGTAGAGAATTATTTTCTCTCCACATTAGAAGTTTTTAATCAATATAATTTGAAATGCATTGATTATGTCTATTTTTTTGTAATTTATTTCACTTTTTTGCATTGGCATTTCTGTCCATTAACTAGTAAATGAAAATGAACCCAACCCCATAAGGACGTTTTTGATATAGTATTGAAAACGAAATAAACCTCATACGTGTGTTTTCGTCTTGAATATATTAATATACAGTATATCACTGAGTTTAATTACATCATATCGGCTAGATAATAAGAACGCAATATCTCTCTGCCCTTATTATCTTAATAAGTGTTCAAATAAATAGTAACTACACAAGCAGATTCTAAAGAAATTCAATCGGGCTTGTTAAACTAATTGAAATTCACTTTTTTTTCATACAGTAATAAAACGCATAATTATTTAATCTTTTATTAATCCAGAAGATGCATTTTATAATTATTTTTAATGTTGTAATTATTACATTGAAATAACTTTTATTTTCAGTTTTACATTTAGTCTCACATTTAAGAATGACACTACATAGTCTATTTATTCTATGAATGGTAGATTATTGATACAGGTATTGTTTACTTCTGTCGAAATTTTATCTAAAATTGACATTGTAAAGAAGCTAATTTATTTAAGAATTATATACTTTCCAATTTTTCACTGTACTTACGTAATATCTAGAGCAATTTAAATTGGTACTACCCATCTTTAACCATTTTATGAGTGCTTGTACCACACACCTTCTACGCAAATGTCTTTGTGTTAATTTTAATTAATTTTTTTTATTTCTCCCGTCTGTAATTATAATAAAATTCACATGAGGCTTTGGACTTATTTCGTTTTAAAAGTTATCCAGAAGTTGAATAAATATTGAACACACAACACATATTTCATATATTCATTTAAATAATTTAAAAAAAAAAATTTTATAACAAGGAAAATATTTAAGCTTTTTCTATATTTTAGTTAATTTTATACAATTTTTTAACAGATTATAACTTCGTAATTTAAAAACTTGAAACTTCTTTCACACACGAAATAAATAAATACTGCTGAAGTTTCAACAAAATACTAGTTTACAATTTTGAATAAAAAAACAATTATATTAAAGTGCAATGTGCTTATGATTTATCCCATTACTATTAAAGCATTGTTTTATAGCATCTGCATATATAACGAACGTTTTCATGTTTTTCCGTATCTGTATACATTAACGATAAAACAAATCATGGCTTCTATATGGAATGAAAATAATGGACTAGTACAGACTTATACAATTATCACTCAAGTTAAACCCCGCATGATATTAACAGTAGAGCTGTAAAGAATCGGATAGAAACAATGATTCAATGTCCCATATCACGCCTTATGATTACACGTTTCTGTATAAGTACACATTTCTATTCTTATGTGATGCCTTAACGTTGTTGCCAAGTATTGGTAATATTATAATATTATTTCGTATTTGATCATGATTGTTATTGAGTTTATCGGAAGCCCTTGTTTAATTATTTAAAAATGACTTAATTACAATTAGTATGGCTATATATAATAACTTATATACATTAGACAACTAAGTCTTTTATCTTTGATATAAAATATGCTTAATATTTAGAAAAAAATATTAATCTGACAGACAATGCGTTACTGCAAAAGAACTATATTTTGGTATGTTTAAATTGAATGCAAGAAAATGAAATGCTTAATAACACATTTCTTAGATCTTAGATCAGGAGTATTGGTACATATTTTTTACTTCTATATTAATCTTTTTATATTAGTATGACTAGTATTTGTAATAAATACATGTTACCGTTTTGGAATTGCTTTTAATTCAATTGAATTAAAATTAGCATTATTGGAATTAATATTTTATAATTCACTTTAATTCGCATGTTAGTAATAATCTATCATTATTCAGTATAGTAATAATTATGTATTCAATTTTATATATATTAAAAAGCATTTGATATTTTTTTATAATTTAGCAATAATTAATAATCATTTTACTTTCATTTATTTTTCGAATATGTCTAAATTATGAATTTAATAAAATTATTATCTGTATAAAATATATATTGAACCTACAATAAACTAATTTTATGCGCATAATCTACACATTTTAAACTGTATTGTAATTATTTCGATATAAAATATTTTTCATTACCAAGGCTTATATTGACGTAAAACTATTAAAAAGTACTGAAAGGTTGATAATATTAATATTTTCATATTCAGTATGTAGGAAAATTTTAATATGTGTTTATTTTAAAATGTATAACATTTTATTTTAGAAAAAATATGCACACTCTTTGAAAGATAATACTAATAATTAAACGAATATAGTTTAATGTACTGTATTTATAAACTTGTCAAGCACATTAGGTTATTTACTATATCAAGATATGCCCATATAGCCCCCTAATACATACGCATAATACACAATATACTATTTTATTTTCAATTATGTTTATTATACTCTCACGTTTATGTTAATTTTTTTGTCATCATACCACTTTCACACATTTTTACAGCATGGCCGCTCAGATTCATACAGGGTTGCCACTTTACCTGACATTCGCGATGACAACAAAACTGCAGATGGAATGTACAAGGTATAGAACAATGCGACAGTATGAAGGAAATTGAGAAAAAGTCGTAAACGTGTTTTCTCGTTCTTGTGGAAGAACCTCTTTCCTACTTGTTATAACCAAATAAGCATCTGGTGACTGGAACGTGTGCATCTGCTTTTGGGGCTTCATTTACCTTTTATTTTTGTTGCAATGCATAATTATTTGTGCCCCTGGTCTTTCAATTTCTTTATTTTTCTCATCAAATTTTCATCTTTATATACTATTTATTCTATCTAGCTTATATTTTTTAACGTTACTTTCTCCTATTTCTTTATTTCGGGATATAATAAAAGGCTAGTTATTAATTTGTCTTTATTTCAGTACAAAATTTATATAACTTTATAAGTTGAATCTAATTACCTAATAGATTAAATTAAATTAATAATTGTCAAGTTAATTATATATACTAGTTTAAAAATTTTCTCATTAGCATAAAAATTTATTTGAAATTTTTTTTTATTAAATAGTAATTACTTAATAATATTAGTACTTCATTATAGTAACAATGATTTATGTTACATATTCATATTTAAATGTTAAGTATTTTATTAAATACTGATATTATAAGGTTTATTATATTTAGGTAATATATTATTATTTAAGTTCTAAATTTTTTAATTTTGATAATAATTTAACTTTTAAACAATTATTAAACTTTCTGATATTATTTGTTTATATCATATTATAATTACTATTTTTTTTTAGAAATTTTTTATTGGTTTTGATATAAATATTCGATGTACAAATATAAAAAATATTAAGTAATATAAATAAATCTTCAAAATATAAGTATAATAAAAAAAATTCGTAAAATGAATCTTTTTTTATAAAAAAAAATTGGAATATCGTCTGTTTGGCTTCATATATTTATATCTTCTTATATTTCTTATATTCTTGCAAAGCTGCACTTTTTTGTATAATTTTTTTAAACTAAAATATTCATCATTCCTTTTTTTAATACTATATAATTGTAGATCATACTTTTCATATCTTGATTTTTCATAATTGTAATTCCAACAATTTACTTTAATATGTAACACCAAGTAAAATATGTGTAAGTGATAAGAATTAATTATACAATAATGCAAGTATTTTTAAGTATGTTTAAGTATTTTTAATAAATTATTTAAAGCTCTGCAAACGAATAAAATATGTTACATCGCTATAATCATTATGAGTATTCATGTTTTTCTATAAACTCTAATAATTTTTTATTAGATCATTAATGTTGGAATATAATCACTAAGTCTAAAAAATTTATGAATTTGAACGATAATAGTATTTATTATAATATAGTAATATTATTGTCAATAAAATAGATTAACCTACTACAAACAGATTTAAAAATTCTAAATAATTCAATCACTGTCAATCAAAGTAAATTAATTTAGAACTGATTGAGATTAAAACTAATTTAGAACTTGATTTCCTAAATATACATTTTTCTTCTTGGCTTATTCTCTTTCAAGTCTCTGTTGTGTTTATAAGTTTGTTTGATTCTAGGAATATCATGTATTATATTTCTTAGCCTTTCTCTCTTTTACGATGATATTCAAGGTTAGGTTCTTGGCGAATTTCGAAGATTTAAATATGCATGACGTCAACATGAAAAATTACTATCCGATTCTTAACTTCTCACTTTTTCTTATTTTATTCTTCCTTTACTTGTAAGTATTATTTCTACAATGCAAAAATACTCGTTGCACTTTTTGTCAATATAATCTCTTCATTTCTTATTATAACATACTGTGTTCATTTATCAGCTTTACTATAAAAATAATAATCCATAATATATTATACATAATACAATAATATAATATACAATATATATTTATATTCTATTCTATTCTATAAATATATTAATGTTGATATAAAATATACATTTATAACATATGCATGTTTTATTAATTTTTAAAATGTTTTACTAATACCAACAAGTAATGCAATATAGGTAATTGTAATACCAAATTCGTTAAAATTCTGTGTAAAGTTATAAAATCTTAAAAATTGCGATTTAATAGTACGTATATAAATTTTCGTTATAAAGGAAAGTAGTAGTGTACGATCTACGGACATATATCTTTATCCTAGCAAAACAAATGATGGGCTGAAGTTAAATTATAAACGAAAGCTATGTTTTTAGCAGCCTCGAAATAAAGTAGACTAATTTACATGTTTTAGTGATCGCTAGTAATACTAGTTAAATTTTTTATTGTGTTATGAAAACTGATATTCTGGTTTCGACTGACTGATGTAAGTTGAGTTAAATAAATTTTGTCGAAGAGCGCATTAAAAAATTTATAAAGTAAAAGTATTGCTCTGTTTATAATACTGTAAAATTTTTTAATAATTAGCCTAATTTATAGTTCATTTAATGGTCGTAATTAAAAAAAATTTTTTATCACCAGAACCCAATACTGACGAAAATTATATAGAAAATGTATAGAATAAAATTGTATTATTGATATTCTTAAAATTTATAAATATTCATCAAGCTTCAAGTAATAATATAAGTATTACTTTATTAATACATATCCAGAGATTGATATGAAACAAAGAAAATTAAATAATAAAAGTTTTTAAAATTGCTGTATTACATGCTTTATATTACATTGTACTATTTTAAAGAAAAGTTTATTGTTTTTTATACGTACGAATTTGATATTTGTAAATTGAAAATAAAAAGTTCCACTACATAGTTGTCATGTAAAGCTGCTTTTAAAATTTGTTAAGATAGGCAATATCAATTTTACAAATAAAATTAAAAATTTTATATTTAGTTATACATTAGGATATTGGTATGCATACAAAATTCTTTATTCAGAATTTTAAATAGTATGAGTGGTAAATATAGAGGATCGTGAACGCTATGTAATACGTCTATTAATTAAAATAAACAGTTATGAATACTTAATAAATTGGTATCCAAACTTCTATATTAGTATACTAATGTTTATGTTTTGTTGCTAAATTTATAGTCCCGACGGAAGAGTCCGAAAAAAAAGGGGGGAAACTTAGATGATCTAAAACAAGAGTTAGTCATCGATTTTCATAAGATTAGCCCTGAGGAACTATATCAAAGATTTCAAACACATCCAGAAAATGTAAGTTGGAGCTCATTTTCATTTTTATATTAGTGGTTCGGAGTGACGAAAGTAGTAAATATCAATGAAATATGTTTGTGTTTAATACAGGGACTTAGCCATGCGAAGGCAAAAGAGAACCTGGAACGCGATGGACCAAACGCTCTGACGCCACCGAAACAGACACCAGAATGGGTTAAATTCTGCAAGAATCTCTTTGGTGGTTTTGCTCTACTATTATGGATTGGCGCTATTCTTTGTTTTATCGCTTATTCTATCCATGCAACTACAAGTGAGGATGCAAATGAAGATGACTTGTACCTTGGTGTTGTATTGGCTGCCGTCGTTATCGTCACTGGCATATTCTCCTATTATCAAGAAAGTAAATCCAGTAAAATTATGGAGTCCTTTAAAAACATGGTGCCACAGTTTGCAATCGTTATTAGGGAAGGTGAGAAATTCACCCTCAAAGCTGAAGATCTAGTAATTGGGGATGTCGTTGAAGTTAAATTTGGTGACAGAATTCCGGCTGACCTTAGGATCATCGAGTCCCGAGGTTTCAAGGTAAAAACTTAAGTGGCATTTTTTCATTATATTTTTAAGAAACATAATTGATCAGTGTTATCCAAAAATTATTAAGGTACGTAAATTAATCTGAAGAGTATCTGCTGTTGAAAATGCTTTTCAAAATAGTTTTACCAAAGAACTATATATTCATTACAATACGGCAAAATATTCAAATTAAATAAACTAATAGTGAAATTTAAATTTAAATTGACTTATATAAAAATGCGTGCACGCGCATCTGAATTATTTATTTATTTGTCACAGCGGAGAAAAAGAAATAAAAGAATAATGTCATGAACAGTTGCATATTTTTCAATATTAATAAGGTATTTGTAATTTGTGCCTAAATAGGTGGACAATAGCTCATTGACAGGAGAGTCAGAACCACAATCGAGGTCACCTGAATTTACGAACGAAAATCCTCTCGAATCAAAGAATTTAGCGTTCTTTTCTACGAATGCAGTCGAGGGCACAGCTAAAGGAGTTGTTATCTGCTGCGGCGATCAAACAGCAATGGGTAGAATCGCTGGTCTTGCATCTGGTCTTCATACTGGGGAGACGCCGATTGCTAAAGAAATTCATCACTTCATTCACTTGATTACGGGTGTTGCCGTTTTCCTTGGTGTGACCTTCTTTGTAATTGCCTTCATTTTGGGCTACCATTGGCTCGACGCCGTTATTTTTCTTATCGGCATCATCGTCGCTAATGTGCCTGAAGGTCTCCTTGCCACTGTCACGGTGTGCCTAACTCTTACAGCAAAACGCATGGCGTCTAAGAATTGTCTGGTTAAGAATCTTGAAGCCGTTGAAACACTCGGTTCAACTTCTACTATCTGCTCTGATAAAACAGGTACATTAACACAGAACCGTATGACGGTAGCGCACATGTGGTTTGACAACCAGATTATCGAGGCCGACACTACCGAAGACCAATCGGGTGTTCAATACGACCGAACATCACCAGGCTTCAAAGCCTTGGCAAAAATTGCAACATTGTGTAATCGTGCTGAATTCAAAGGTGGCCAAGAAGGTTTACCGATCCTTAAACGCGAGGTTAATGGTGACGCCTCAGAGGCTGCGCTTTTAAAGTGTATGGAACTTGCCCTGGGTGACGTTATGGGTATTCGTAGACGCAATAAGAAAGTCTGTGAGATTCCATTTAATTCGACTAATAAATATCAAGTTAGTATTAATTATATATTCAAATTTCATTTACAATGCAGTACTTTATTCACAATTAGTTTTATATACTACCACGGCAAATAAGAGAAGCAAAGAATAATGAATAAAATAAATTTATCATAAAAATATTTTATTTCTGTCTCAATATAATAATTTATTATTAACATAATACTATTAATGGTAAATCAATAAATCTGAATTTAGTTGTATAAAGTATATAGTTTGCAATAAAACTGTATTTAAATTGAACATAATATTAAAAAATTTAAAACCTTATTATATAAATATTATATAAATATATTTTAACGATATAACTGGAAAAAAACTTCGCAGGTTTCGATCCATGAATCTGATGATCCGCACGATCCTCGTCACCTGTTGGTAATGAAAGGCGCCCCCGAGCGTATCCTTGAGCGTTGCTCAACCATTTTCATCGGCGGCAAGGAAAAGGTCCTTGACGAGGAAATGAAGGAAGCTTTCAACAACGCCTACCTTGAGCTCGGCGGTCTCGGTGAACGAGTTCTCGGCTTTTGTGATTACATGCTACCGTCCGATAAGTTTCCCATTGGCTATAAATTTAACTGTGACGATCCAAATTTTCCGACTGACAGTTTACGATTCGTTGGTCTTATGTCTATGATTGATCCACCTCGAGCAGCTGTACCCGATGCCGTAGCTAAGTGTCGTTCAGCTGGTATCAAGGTTATTATGGTTACCGGCGATCATCCAATCACTGCCAAAGCCATTGCCAAATCTGTCGGCATCATTTCCGAAGGTTGGAAGACGTTTCTACATGGATATTTACATTCCATACTCTACTTGTTCAATTTATGAAATCAACTTCATATGTGTACTAAAGAGTAACAACAATCAAAATCATTTGAAAACATTATACATCTAGTATATTTTATCACAACATAAAATCCACAACTTATATGTTAAATATTCAATATAAAAATATATCTAATATATTAAATTAAAAATATTTAATAATGATATTTCTGTAAATATTAATATTTATAATGAAAGTAGAAATGCTAGAATATAATTTTCGTAAATTTTTTTTAATTTACGAATTTTAATTTAATTTTTAAATTTAGGAAAGAATTCAAATATTTAAGAAAAGTATTAATAAAAGTAAGAATTAAAAAATATAAAAAATGTAATTTCACGAATTCATTAAGATTTTTTTACTGCAGGTAATGAAACAGTCGAAGATATTGCACAGAGGTTAAATATTCCAGTATCTGAGGTGAACCCGCGGGAAGCAAAGGCTGCTGTCGTTCACGGCACCGAGCTCAGGGAATTGGGTCACGATGCATTGGATGATATTCTACGGTATCATACGGAAATTGTCTTCGCCCGTACTTCACCTCAGCAGAAACTTATCATTGTCGAGGGTTGCCAAAGAATGGGTGCTATAGTTGCTGTAACCGGTAAAATCTTTTTCTTCTCCAATAAATAATTTTTACTTATAAAAGGGTTACGTAAATACTCATTAAATAAACTAAATGTGATTATTATATTATATTTTTCAATTAGAATAAAACAATATATTGTTGAACATATCAAAATAAAATTTTATATAAAATTAAAATTTCTAAACTATTATTGAAAATCATAAATTTTCAATTATTTATATTATCTATTAATTTACTATCTTTTAAAAAATATTTTACTTCAGTTCTGAAAGTATTGATGTTTAATATTAAAACTTAAATTCTTAATAGAAATTAAACGTATTACATGTAATATTAAAGAAAATTCATTGATCTTATTAATTTTAATTAAATAAATGCCATTTCACGATTTACGTCAAAGTTAAGAAAATAGTTTAATTTTGAATAAACTACTCTCTTTGTTAATTTATTAATTTTTCTTGTAATTAATAATACAAAAGAATATTGATAATTATGTAATTGTTGAAAAAAGTAAATTTATTGAATTACAATATAAATTTCATTGTGAAACAAACTTTCAACTATTTACCAATTTAATTAATGATTCAGATAATTTAGGCATGAATATATCTAAATTATAGTTATATTATTATTCATTATGATTGCAATCACGCTTTCGAATTTTTCAAAATTGCTTTAGAAAATTCATTAGTACATTTTATTCGTCACTAATAATGTTCTTGCTCATATATGCGTGGCTGTTATTTACTAACGATTATTGTGATGGTTCACTAATGGATAGGCGACGGTGTCAACGACTCACCAGCTCTGAAAAAAGCAGATATTGGCGTCGCCATGGGTATCGCTGGTTCGGATGTATCTAAACAGGCCGCCGACATGATTCTTCTGGATGACAATTTCGCTTCAATTGTCACTGGCGTCGAGGAAGGTCGGCTTATCTTCGACAACTTAAAGAAGTCAATCGCTTACACTCTTACTTCAAACATTCCCGAGATCTCACCCTTCTTAGCCTTCATACTTTGCGATATTCCCCTGCCTCTTGGCACCGTTACTATTCTTTGCATCGACTTAGGAACCGACATGGTAAGTCTACTCAGCATTTTTTTTTTTTTTTGATATCTCTAAATATCACTACTGTAATAATTTTTAAGAATGAATTATTATACAAAAAAAACATGGATTACAAGATTTTTTCAAGTAGCAGTTTTTGGGGTCGGCGATTGAAAAGAATGACGATCCAAGCGATCATTTTAATTTTATTTTTAGGACAATCTTATCACGATATCTAAATTATATAATTTTCATATCTATTTACTTTTAATTATTTATAATTAAATTGTAAAATGCTACAATTATGCTCAGGTACCTGCCATTTCACTGGCGTACGAAACGGCTGAATCAGATATTATGAAAAGAAGACCACGCGATCCTTACCATGATAATCTTGTCAACGAAAGGTTTTATTCTATGTTATTCTCAGCTTTTATGATCCTGTAGTGCCAGAATTTCACCAAAATTGGATCTGTTTTAATTTTACTTTTACTTTTCCTTAGTTCAATAAGTTCAAGTTTCTTCCTTAGTTCAAGAACGTATTTGACTTTTATGTTTTTATATCTTCCTTTACAGTAATTTTATATACATGCTCCTTGTTATCAGCTGTAATTGCTTGAAAAGTAGCTAATTAAGATAACGAAGAAATGTAGCAGAGTATCTAAAGCAGAAACAACTGGTGACACTTTTACTTTGAAAATATATAGGTTTTATTTTATGAATTTTTCAAGTTTATGTATGTAATCCAAAAAATAAACAGCGACAACGTAGCTGAACCATAGAAAGCAGATTCTGAGAAGACTGATTTTACTAAATTTGTTATTCTTTTTTTTCTGTAAATAAGAATTTATTCCAATGTAAAAGTTTATTGTTATAAAGAATGTAAAAAGTATTATTTATAATTAAAAAATTATTAGTCATGCATTGGATTAGTTTGTATTAAACTCATTCGTTTATAACACGTTTAATAATCTAATAATATTTTAAAATCTTAATATATATATTATACGAAAGTTTTTCGATCAAAGTCTCTCAGGCTTCTAAAATGTTATTACACAGTTTTGTTAGAGTCATTTTCAATTATTATAACTATTATTCAAAGTAATTTCTAAAATTATTATTTCAAGATCAAAACGGTCAAAAGTGCTATAATGATACTTGCCAATTCTATATTTTTTGTAGTCCTCAAAAGTTATATTTACAGTTTTCAATCAGAGATTTAATAAAGTAATACAAAAAATGAAACTATAATTTAATTGTATATTTACTATTTTTCTTGAAGCATTCCAGAAAATTATCAATAAGTGCTGAGACATTAAATTTTTAGTAAATATTAAATATTTCCTTCGGTCGATAACATATTAAATAATTAATAATATTTTAATAAATATTTTCCTTACTTTTAAATATTTTATAGGAATTCAGCTTGATAAATTAGCCTTTATATTTAAGGAGGACAAACCAGTGGAAAATCTTAATTTTATAAAAATGACTTTATTTTCTTATTAATTATATTAACGGCGTTCCTACTGAGCCTCTTGATAATGTCACGTTAGGTACCAGCCATCTCATTAGCCTACGAGGAAGCAGAAAGTGACATTATGAAGCGACGACCAAGAAACCCGTTCACCGACAAGCTAGTTAACGAAAGGTAATACGATACCACAATCTCCAGCGTGGATTATGTGCGCCTAGAGAGGACACGATTAATTTTGTCAACGTGATACTTTGCTCAGTTTCTTAAATACTTATTAATAGTAAGAAATGAATGATATCAACTTTGTTTTTATGTTTCTAATTTGTAACTATTTTTATAAACAAATATAATTGTTCTTTATTAATCATAAAATAATTGTTAAAGAAATGATGTAAAGTACACTCTCCTCGATTACTGTTGACCGTATATCACAATACTATAGTTTATTTATTTAATTATTTTATTTAACTAATTATATCTTTGCTTCCTCTCGATAATCGTGGTATACTGAATCTGTCTATTCTTTTTGCTATGTGGCTCTGCATGAATATTGAATAATATTTTGAAATCAATGAAGAGGTGCGCTAGCTTCTGCAGAATCTGGAGATATTTTCCATATTTGTTAACCTTTTGTACATATAGTTACTATTTTTCCTGGTTCTTGGAATCATTCGACAAGCCGTATTTCTATATTTATTGTTATATTATAAATTATAAAATATAAAATAAATATAAATTATAAAATATAAAATAAATATAAATTATAAAATAAATTATAACTAATACAATAGACTTATTGAAATTATTATGAATATTTATAACTTTACAGCTTTTATTTAACTTTTAACGATTTGTCGAGTGTACTGGATAATATACTTTTTATCAAATAATCTATGGGATAGAGAACTAATAGTAAATGGTCATGCACGAGGAAAATTGGAGGATTTTATTTTTGGTCTAATTTTTTTGAGCTGATAACTTTTTAAAATAATTTATTTTCAATCGTATTTTATGACTTATTTCCTGTAACTACAACAAAGTAAATATTTCATAACTTCTTTCTTCGTAAAAAAATTCTATATAATTTAAAGAAAAATTTTGTTTGGAGATAAAATATAGAATACTTTTTTGCATTCTTTGGACCATTAAATTAGATAAATTTTCAAAAATTAAGTGAACACATAAATTTTATTAACATTTTATTTAACATAGTTATATATATTATTCATTGAATATAATGAAATATATTGTATGGTATAAAATTTAAGAATTAAAACATTTTTAAATTGATAGTAGTCAATTAAATTATAATTTTATTCTATATGTAAAAATAGTACTTTTACTATTGAAATACGATTTTTATATTTATATTTAAACTTTTTTTGTATGATAATGTTATGTATATTGTAAATTTTTTTTTAATAACAAATTTTAAAAAGTAACATTTGGATACAATATTTATTAATTGGTAAAATATAAATTACACGTTTACAAATAACAATAATTTAATTTTACCATAACATTTATATATAAGTTTATATATAATTATATATATAGTAAGATTGATACCTTCATATTTGTTGAAAATATTTAAAATATGTTTAAAATGTAAAATAAGCAATGAATTTATTTTTGCTGATTATTGTTTAGTTTTTCATTTCAAACCTCTTTATTACTGATTGGTGCCTATTATGTCTTTTTAACAAAAGTTGTCCATTTATCATTATTATTAAAGGTAAGATACCAAATATGTATGTAATTATTAGTCTTCTTAATCTTCTGTATTTTTCAATTTCCATATATAAATATTTATTGTTCATTAATATGCAATCATATTTTACCTTTAAAAACTTTTTCGTTAATATTGCAGATATTATTTGAACCTTTGATTCGTTTATTTTTTCTCTTGTATCTGCTTCTCTTATTCACTCACCATTATTTGCAAATCGTGTATAAAAGATTCAAATAAACTGACGTATTATTATGGAAAACCCGCATGATCGTCTATTTGAAATTTAATAATAGTATTCTTGATAAAATTTCTATTGATTTCATTTATCGATTTAATTCTTTTCTCATTCTTACACCGTATTTATGCTTATATTAAGCCACTTTTTCTTTTCAAACTTGATTTCTGTCATATCTAATTTTGATTGCATCTATTAAAATTTATGTATCTACACTGTATTAACTTTTCGTGTTTACATTAAATTTTTATTTCCTCATTGTTTTATTTTTTCTGAAAAAAAAATTGCTTCAAATCTGACAAAACTTATATTTAAAATATTTTAATTTAGATATTGAAAAAAAAAATTGTATTATAATAATGAGCATATATTTTTGTATTAAATTCATATTATTATACCTTGAAAATCTCTATAAACATATTGCATACAAATAAAATGAATAAAAAGTAATTTGTAAATTAGAAAGGTAGAATTTAAATATTCATTTTATATGTTTTATGGATGTAAATTTAAATACAAATACTTATAGGATTAAATATTATACATTATAAATAATAGATGAAAAAAAGTAAAACGTAATTAACAAGAAAATATAAATATTTTCTCTAAATTATTATCAGGTCATCTATGATATTTAGCAGAAAGAGCATAGATAATATTTTCATAGCTTCAATGAATATAATACAAATTTATATATTTACTTAAAACTTATAAAATGAAACATACTAATTATAGAACCTAACAATTGTAAAATAGATTATAATAATTAATATAATAATTATATAAACATCTTCTTTGTGAGTTTAATGCTGGAATTAAAATTAATAAGTTATTTTTCGATTATCTATTTTTTAATTATTCTAAAAAACTAAAACTCTAAAATAAATAACTTCAGAAGGCAAAGAGAATTGGAGAGAGGAATATTTATTTAATTAATAATTGTACATTCATGAGTTTTACAAAAGACAAATATGAGTTATATAACTTATACGTATTTCTGACAAGCATGCTTCTACTGATTATATCAATAGTTTCTAATTTACGTCATACTAACTATATATGTACATCCTCTTTCGTATAAAACTCTTTGCTTCTCAGTATTTATTTGTGTATATGTTTTTATTTCATCCGATTACTTTAATGAAACGATCTGCTGTACGAATTATAATATATATTGCTAAAGAGTTATTGAGTACATAAAAATTAATTATAATTATCTCATATGATGTATTTATTTATAATGTTTCATAGTATATACCCATAGAATAGTGATTAAAGTTATACAATTTTCAAATTAGTCAATATAAACTTTATTAAGAGTAAAATATTTAGAATACGATATAAATATTACTATATGTATATACATACGTAAGAATGTTAATATGTGTTGTTTGTACATATACATGAATATTTAAAAGTTCCATGTATACACTCATAGCAAGTATTTATAGTAAAATGATTATTTGCAATTATAATTATATCGTAGTTAGGTATCCGAAAAAAACTCTATGAATTATTTTAACGATTAACGTCTAGACAAATAGTTTCAAAAATCTTTCAAATCATAATGCAACTTGACTGTACTCTTGCTGTCCATATTTAATTATATTTGTTTTGAATTCACAAATACTATTATCTTTCTGCATTTTTTGTTTAGTCTGTGATATTTTCATAATTTCTTTATTACTAAATTATTGCTCGACGACTAAAGAATTTTAAACCAAATCCCTGCAATCTTTATGAGAGCGTTAATGTCTGCCGCATCGTAAATATCCTATGGGTACACGGTAGTTCAACATTACTAAGCCTTTTACAAAAACAAACTCTATTTATATTTTTTATCTCAGGCACTCTTTCATTTAATTTTTTATAGCAAATTCAAATTTTAGTATGTAGCAAATTTTTCTTAATTTTTTTCCGGCTTTCTTTCAAATAATTAATTGGTACTATTTATATATAGAATAAAATAGGCTTTTCTTATATAGCAAATTTCCAATTAGATACGAATCAACAATAGTATAGAGCGATAAGGCAAATTTCACTTTCGTTTTTGAAGCTCACATTCGCTTGGAACTAGATAAAGAAATCAGAGAATTTAAATTCTGTTTTTTACTTTATTGTCATTTTTATTCTAGATTTAAAATTAAATTAAATCAATCATGGAATTATGTTAACTCTCAATATAAGATACATATTTTTCAGGTAAACCTTACAAAATGTTTTTAAAAAATACATGTTAAGGTCTTATTTATTATACAAATAATTTTATTATTTTTTTTATATATTAAAAAAAAATATTTTTATATCTATAAGTGTAATTTATTCCCAAGATACTTATGTTATACATAACATATTAAATTTTTCATATTCATTTCTATTATATAATATATAAATATAGATAAGTATTATATTTTTTCGATTGGAATCCTCAGAATTGTTTTAAAATTTTTACAAAAAATATTTTACTATTATAATAAATAAAATATGGAAATTTTTCTACTTTTGTGTGATATGTTTTATTAATTAATTAAAGAAACTAAGTTTAGCTGATAAATTTTGCTCCATGCAGAGCTCACGGGGGATTCCTTTTGACCTAGATATACAACATTTATTGTATACCTGCTTTTTTGTTCAAAATTTTATATTTTCTTTAGCTAAGAATCCATTCATCCTTCGACAACAATTTTGTGGCCAAAGATAAATAAAAAAATATATCACTACAATGCCTATTACGAGTTAATGCTATATTCGTATTTCTCGCTCTATTTATTCTTTACTACTTTCTTTTTTCACTTTAGATTTATATGCGGATAAAAGCGCTTGCCACAAGTTAGACGCTGTGTCCCAATTATAAATAAAATATCTCAATCCATATATCTTTTTTTAATAATCGCTACCAATCTTTTTTGCACGATTTTCTTCATTCATTACTGTATCTCTACTATTTTTCAGAAATAGAAAGTGGATTTCATTGCAAGAAAAAACATCCTATTTGCTTCTTTTTTTTACTTACATACGGATTACTTCAAAATGGAGTCGATAATATCTTACTTTTTATTTCACTCATTTTTTTCTTAAATATTTCAGACTAATGTTCGATTAGTTTCGAAATCTGTTTTATTGTAACTTTCTATTCCTACAAATGAAATAAAATCTTCAATTAAAAATTTCTAAATTTTAAAACAATAACGTAAACAGAACATAATA